GTATTTCCTGGAGCCTGCATCTCTATTAATCATGGGAATTATAAATTAATATTACCCTGGTAAGTAGCTTAGGATGATGATATTACATACATACAAGTTTTACTTTTTCCATTTAGTCCTATATGGTTTTAAATAAAAGTTCAGTGCCTACTTATAGTTAGCTTCCGGTCTCCTGTGACTTTTTCTTTACCTTTTTCTGCTACGTTTAAATTAATACTAAGCAATTATCATGTGTCCAACACACAATGTCCTTTAAAAAAACATAAAAATGCCCCTGTTTCTGACACACTTACAAAGTAGTTAAAGAGTAAAGATACACGCACAAAATATCCAGAGTTCAAATATAAGGAAGTATCGGCCTAGGTATGAACCAGAATCTGGTTTGAATGTGGGACCCACTCCATTCAATCTACTCATCCATCCATGTGTTCATCCGCTCAAGGCTAAGCCAGTGTGACAGGTACTGCAGGCTAGCTTCCCCAGAGCCATTGTCCATTTCTCTCACTATAAAGACTGAAAAGGAAAAAATCACCTTTTGGTCTCTTCTGCAGCTCGGGGAGGCTCAGTTCTAGCCAGTGAGTTAGTATACTAGGAATCTTCCAACAAGGACAAAGTCTTGTGAGTTACAAGCCTTCTGCCCTCCCTCTTCCTGCCTTGGATGAGGATGTGATGCCTGGAGCTGTGGCAGTCACCTTATGACCTTGAGGTGACAAGCATGAGGCCAAAACGTCAACACTGAGGAAGACAACAAAAAGACAGAGAGTCTTGTCCTTGATAACATCACTGAGCAGATACCACTGCCAACAACCATGGACCTCTGACTTCTTATGTGAGAAAAACAAATCTCCATTAGTTTAAGGCACTGTTGACTGGCTATTTCAACACTTGTAGCTGAAAGCACTTCTTAACATACAGCTAGGTGTATAGTGCTAAACAACAGAGACAAAAAATTATATATATACTGTGTGTGACTACAGAATCAGAAGGTATAGGCAAATCTAAGCTAGACCAGGCACAGGACAGCTTAGTGATGAATCCAATGAGCCCTAAGTGACAAATAAAAGCCAGGCCAAGAGCATCAGACAGAAGGAACGGTCTGCTCTGGGTGGGGCAAGCAGATGGCATGGCGTATGCGCAGAGGAGGAGCCGGGTAAGGTGGGTGAGCCTGGGCCCCGTGGGCTCTGACGAGGAGGTGCTACGGTCCAGGACTGGGAAGCCTCTGCAAAGTTTTAAGCAGGAGCAAGTCACGATACACTATGTTTGGAGTCCCTTGGTGAAGGATGGGGTGGGAGATGGAGGAGGGGGAGAGGGAGAGGCTGTGACTCTAAAAGGACAACAGGAGGGACCCCCGTCATGATGGAAACGTTCTGCACCTGGGCTGTACATCCCAGTTGTGAGGCTGAAGTATAATTTTGCACAATGTTATACTGGGGGGAACTTGGTAACACAGGATCTCTCTGTTGCTTCTTACGACTGCATGAGAAGCTACAATGATCCCAAGAGGGAAAAAAGGTAATGAAAAAAAGTGTCCCCTGGTTTCAACATGGAGAGAGGATGAGAGAGGGAAAGGGTGGGACTCTGAGTCACCCAGAGAGCTCTCTGGCCTTGGACTGGAGAGGGCGTATGAGAGGGGTGGACTGACCCGAGAAGTATCCGGAATGACGGATGCATGTGGGATGGCCCGGCCCGGAGCAGGGAGGTGGGTTCTGGCACTTTCACGGAGACAGGACGCGACGGAAGAGGAGCAGGTTTCCCGGTGCTGGTGGCAGGAGAGGGGGAGGTGGGACTGGCCAGCTCATGTTTGGACAGCTCAAGTTCAAGGAGCCAATGAACAACCTGGGCAGAGGTTCTGAGTGGGCATCTGGAAATGCAATCACCTTAACATAGACCAAAGGTGAGATTTCTCTCCTCTAGCCCCTCTCCCACTTCTTCTGCCTGCTGTGGAGGAAAACACGAGGGAGGGAGGGACGGAGGGAGAGAGGAACAGATGGCTCTCTGGCCGCCGCCCTGTCACACACTCAGCCCTCCCTCTACTTGCTTTCTTGCTCTCCAGGACCTACTGGGGAGCCAATGCCCGGCAGCGGGGCGCCCGCTATGATGAGAGGCCGGGTCACTGCGGACATCGGTGCCCATGTACTGCAGCTCCTTTCCCCTCCCCGACTCCATCCTTCACGCCCTGTGCCCAGTGCAGACCTCGGCGCGCTTCCCATCCCCTCCAGGGCCCCCGGCTGCTTTCTTCCCGGCTCCCTGTTCCCGCCAGCTCTGCCGTCCAGTCCCAGCAGGTGCGGCCCCAGGTTTGGACCGAGGGCTGCAGGTAGGAGACTCCCTTCCAGCCTCTGGAACCATGCTTGCCAGACGAATGACATGGCTCGAGGGATGGAGGGGAAGGCAGGAAAGGGCCTCGAAAGTTGGAGGGTAGAGAAAAGAATGTACACGTTGAAGAGCATCCTCGAAAACCGTCTAGGAAGGGGCCGTGTTGGTGCCTCTCAATACGTCATCCTTCCTGAGTTGGAAAAGATCACCGCTGATGAAGCTGCAGACTTTCATTGTACGAACCAGCTTCACGTGTCTGTAAACGCTGGGATCACGCTCGGCGCCCGAGGGGCGCCCCCGAGAGGCCCCCCGGGAACTGCCGCCGGCCCGGGAGCAGCGGGGTCAGTCATTTCCTCGGCTCGTTGCAGGGCTGCAGGGAACTGCACGCACTAGTTGCGGTGCTTCCGCTCTTATTTTTCTGCCAAATGTATATTGTTTTCACGTAAGATAAATGCGTACACGGTACGACTCTTTACACGCTCTTTTCCACTTGGCTAATCATGCCGGCACGTGCCCCACTGTTCAAAGTCCTGAAGGAGAGGCGGGATGGGAGGCCCCCTGATGCCCTGTTAACTTGGGGTCTATTCTTCCAGATCTTTTTCTATTTACAGACACATACGCATCATTTTTAACATACACAGAAACATACGACACATATTCTGCAACTTAGTATTTTCACTGAATAAAATCTTGGTGATTTCCGCCCCCACCACACATCAACTATTTCACAGCATGAATGTTCTATAATCTCTGTAACCCTCTGCCGTTGTTGAACATTTTTGAAATTGAGCCCACTTTTTGCTTTTACAAATATAACTACATTAAACATCTTATGTACATATATCTTTGCTTATTTGTGTCTTATTTCTGGAAGATAAACTAATAGACACGAATCGCTAAATCAAAGAGTATATCTGTTTAAAAATTTTTAAATTACTACTAAATTGTCCTTCAGAAATGTTTAGTAGCTTTCACTCCCAACCACATTGTATATCCCCCAACACTGTATATTACCAATTTTTTAATCTTTGCCAATCTGATGGATAAAAAGAGGTATCTCATTTAAGTTTTGTTTCTTTAATACTACAGGAGTTGAACATCTTTTTAAATGTTTATGGCAATTTCTATGCTTTTGGAAAATTATTGTTTAAATTTCAGTATGTTTCCCACTGGGTTGTTCTTATCGATTTTCAGGAGCTCTTTTATGATGGATATTACTTTTGGTGCAAATATTTCTTCTAGTCTGACTCTTGTTCTTTATGTGTATGTGGTGTCTTTAATGCAACGTTTGTTTTTCTTTTTTAAAGGATGCCTTCTGGGTAGTAAGTCTTGCTTAAGTAGGCCTTCTCTGCCTGAAAATTATGCTTGTAGAAATTCCTTGTTATTTTCTTCTAATACTTTAATAGCTTTAATTTTTATGTTTATTCCTGGAATTCTGATGAACTTATGAGATAGTACACTTTTCCCAAATGTCTTGGTGCCCAATTGTCTCAGAACCAATTACTGACAATTCCTCTGTTTTCCCACTGGTTTGAAATACCACCTCTATAATATATTAAATTCCTATATATACACATATCTGAACCCTACTCCTCCCTGTTGATCTACGTGCATATTTTTAGCCCTGCCAGGATCACACTTTCTAATCACTATAGCACCACAGTATGTTTTGATGTCCACCTTGCCTACCGTTACTATCACCACCAAATATTTTTAGCTATCCTTGAGCATTCTTCCCTTCCACACAAACTTTATAAATGGGTCCAATTTCATTAAAAAAAATCTGTGACTTAAATGCCTTTGCATTGAATGTATAGGGTAATTTGGGCACAGCCTACATCTTAACAATATTGAGGCTTTCCATTCAGGGACACAGAATGTCCCTTCACTCTTGTTTTAAAGTTGTATGGTTTGTATGGAGAAATCTGCAGTTTTCTTTTATCAGACTTTGCGTATTTCTCAAGTTTATTCCTAGGTGTTATAATTTTTACTGTCATTGTAAATGGTATATTTTCCCACTATATCTTGATTGACTTTTGCTATTCTGTTGGAAAGCTATGGCTTGTAACACATCAATCCTGAATGTAGATGCTTTAATGAGTTCTTTATTAGTTCTAATAGTATTTAGTTGATTCTTTAGAATCTTCTCCTTAGAGAAGTATTAACAGCTACAGAGATAACATTTTTGTATACTCTCGTCTAATATTAACATTTTCTATTTGTTCTCCTTGTCTAATTTCATTGCCTAGAGTTGCCAGCACCATGTAGGACCAACTTTAACACTTGTCAGTAACTTTCAAAGGGGATAATTCTAAAATTTTACTGGTATGTATAAGGCTTGCTTTACATTTCTGGGAGAAAAAGTCTTTATTAAGCTAAGGAGGTTTCCTTTTATTCTCTGCTTCACTAAGACTTATCAGAAATAAGCTTTGAATTTAACTAATTTATTTTCAATGTGTTAAAATGAATTGTGACTCAATTCTTCAAATAAAAAGCGGTCCTCTTTCGGTTGTGTAAAACTTAATGACCATATACTCTGTTTCTTAAAGACAGTATAACCATGAGAGAGACCTCGGATGCCATTAGAGTTGGTATATGTTAAAAATGTAGAGCTGGAAATATCTTTTGGAGCATATCAAAACAAATCACATATTTACGCTATTGGTAATTTAAGATGAATCCCTCACCTTGAAATCATCGGGAATGAGGAGTTTTGATGTTCGTAGAAAATTCAAGATATATCTGAACATCTGTCCGTCTCTGTCAATGAAATAGTGCTGTTTGAGACTGTCCAAAACAATGGGCTCTGTACCATCAAAAAGTCTTCCGATTCTGTGATAGGAAAGAGGGAACAGTGAGGACAATTAGAATTGCTTAAAACCACTAAGGCTAAGAGCTGCTACTTTGTGTCACTGTCAACGGTGGCACTTTTGCAGATGACAGTCAGGAAAAATCACCTGTTAAGCAGTTATGGTTCTCTAAGAAGTACTGGTCCCTGCTTGATAAATATCTCAAGACCAGACAATTCAAAATGATCTCAGGCTTTCTCAAGTAAATTCTGTTATTCAACGTCTTTTACCTGTAGAGAAAATGTTCCTGACATGGTGATTATGGCTCAGTGCTATCACTGTAATGAAAGATCACGTCTTTCCCTTTGTGTTACTTTAAACAAACTTCTCCGCTCCTTAAAAAAAAAACTACTGTTCCGAAGTGTCTTTTAAGCAAATTCTATGAAAAAAAGCAATTTTGTCTTTAAGAAATCTGTTTTCTGAGCTTTCCCCACCCATGAATTTCAAACTTTCTAAAAAGAAAGCAATGCCTATATGCTAACATCTACATTTAATTATAAAAAAGAATAATTGAGAATATTATTCATTTAGAAGAATATGTTTTCCATGAACAATATACAGTCTCATTTCTTAGGTCTCAGCAAAATTCATTTGCAACAGCCAGGGATCATTATAAAATATAAATATTTGGCCACCCCAAAAATACGAGCTCGTTCTGGAATGTAACTGCTTATGGGTAATTTTTAAAAACAGAAATCCATAATATGTTTACCCATTTATAGAGGTAACATTGGAAAAGTGTGCTACAGTTAAAGTGCTTTGTATCCATTATTATTTATCTCCTTAAGGAAGGCTAAACCTACACTCTATATATTTAATACATACTCAACTAATAGAACGTGGTAACATCTATACTAGGAACAAGCAGAGAGCATGCTGACGACAAATAAATATCCTACATCAGAAAACAGGATTTACACACTTGAAATCACTTTCTTTACCAAGAAGTGTATTTACTTTCATTAACAGTATAGGCAGAAAACTTGCTCCATTTTTTAAGAAAAGCTTTTGTGGACCTCATCACAAGTCTCTGATGTGGAACACCATTTTATTGCTTTGATGATGACTCTGATTTGAAGATGATTTTGAAATCATACATTTTCTAATCCGGTTGTTGAAATGGGACAGATGGAATGGTAAATCAGTAATTCCACTCCTCTTAAAATATCACAAACAAACCAACAAATAGGAAAGCCTCTTTTCGCCCTCCCAAAAAAAGAAAGACTTGTGAATTTCTGCTTCAATGAAAATCTTTCAAAGATAATTAGAAAATTCATGTCCTACCTGAAGGTAGTAAGCACAAAGAAGAACAACTAACTTGTCAGGTCATATTTCTAAAACTCAATATATTTTTCTCACCTAACGTTTTTGACCAACATTCCAGAAAATGAGGGTGATCGGCCAGGGTACAGATTACAACCATCGTAGGATTCTTTTACTGCATGCTGCCTTGGCATTCATTTCTCACTAACACATCAATCAAACAGTAGACTATATAAAAAAAGAGGCAGTGAAATGAAAACACACTTAGTCACTTATTTATAGTGTTTCCAGGACAGTTTGGTGCAGGACAGGAAAGAATGAGACTTGTTTGCCTATTATTAAAACATTTTGCTCTTCACTGTCAATGATAAATTTACAGTTGACAGGGGAAGAAAAGGGAGCTATATTTATTAAGTGCTTTCCAGATACCCTGCACTTGCCTAAGCACTTTATGTATGCAACAAATCCATTATCCTCCTTTTAAAGATGAAAAATAGGCTCAAAATGATGAGTAACTTGCCCAACTAGTTAAGTAGCATTGGGGGATTTGGGCACAGTCCGTTTGATCTTAAAGGGGCCTCCCTACAATGATTGGAATGAAAAGAATTAACCACTACTGAATGAAAGCTTTTGGTCTAGAGTTTTCATTTCTATCTTACACTTGTTCAGCAAGAGTTTTATAATGAAACCCCAATGTGTATACTGATTATTTTTGTGGCCTGGAATAAATTAGTATCAGTGATTACAAGGCACTTTACTAAGGAGGTGAAAAGTAAATATTTTACTTTAAAATAAATTCCATGCTTTTAATTCTTAAATACTCATTTTCAAAATCTAGTCTTGGAAGGTCGCCAGCACAGAATAAGCGATTAATAAATCTTTACTACGTGAGTGAGTAAAGGGGTGACTGAGTGAGGAGGGGAACAAGGCTGGGCCATTACAAGCTGTCATCTGCGTGAATCAACTTCTCTGCGTCTCCATTTTTTATAAAAAATAAAATTGTTTCAGTTTACTTTATAAAATTACCTTTTTCTCAGGGTTAATGAAAAAAATCAGAAAGGATCATGGCACATTCAAAAAGAACACAGCAAAAGAAGATTATCTCAAAGTAGCAAACAAAACTTTCCACGAAAGCAGCTCTTGGAAGGCTGCAGGCACTACAGGGTACAGGACTGAAGGAGCAAAAAGTTGAGTCTTGGCTTAAGTGTATCGTTATAGCCCTTTCCAAGATAGTAGAGACACGTCAATTAAGAGGTTTTTAGGATACCACTCAAACAAAACAAAACAAACCCACCTCTAGCAGACACAGGAAACTGCACACAGCTGGACTCAGAAGCACCTTCACATCTGACTGCGATGAAATAGGAAAAGATGCAGAAGAAAGAGGAGAGAAATGTGGAAGGAGACCCAGCGCGGGGACAGGGAAGTGGGCACCGGAGAGAAAGGGTGCGAGTGGCCTGGGGAGAAGGCCTAGACTCACCCGGGAAGTGAGGAACCCCAACCCCGCAAGGGTGGGCGAGGGCCCGGAACCCCTTTGGCCCCGGAACCCTTGCTGTGAGCTCGCGGCAGGCTGGGGAGGGCGCGCTTGGGGGACCGGAGGGCGGGGAGGGCGTGGCCTGAAATTGGTGGGAAAACTCTTCCTGCGGAGGCCGCGTGGTCTACGCGGGAGTCGAGAGGGAGGGAGGGTCAGGAGGGAAGAGCCTCTGGGCCGCACGGCTGCGCATTCCTGACAGTGAAAGCCCCTCGGGGAAGAAAGAGGCCCTGCGTTTCAGGCAACAACTGTTAGGAGTAATAAAAGGAGGCAGAGTGCTGCTGATTTCTGCAAACTCTAAAAGGAGAAAGGTTTTGAATTTGTGAAAACAAGGCGGAAGGGCAGGGTGGTGCCTGTGATCGTAAAATGGGGTCCCGGCCGGTCTCGAGATTCAGTGTGCTGTGAAAAGCATTGTTTGGCTAAGCAAATAGAGGGGAACCTCGACACAGGCTGTATTTCTTGTGGACATATGAATGGAGTTACAAATCAACTGCAGTGATTTGTAAACTCTGGTGCCTGAAAACTATGTGGAACTGATTACAGTTTACTAACCTCGGAGAACATTCCTGTTTTTCAACTGACCAAGACCAAGCTGGCTCCGGATGATGTATGCGCTGCCCTTTTTTTTTAAAAATTTTTTTTTTAAAAAACACTCATTGAATCAAGTGGCAATGCTGAGAAAAATGTCCTTCCACAATTTTCCTTTTATTTTTTGACTTTTTTTTTTTTAACATTGTGTTTTGGGCAGTTTCAAACTTTATGCCAAAGCAAAAAAAAAAAATAATATTATGAACTCCCACGTGTCCATCCGGCTTCTAAAGCTGTCAACTCTTGTTCAGTCCTGTTTCACCTATACCTCTATGCCTCCCTCTCCTGCTCTGGGATTTTTAAAGTAAATTGCAAATATCCTATCATTTTTATCTGCCAATATTTCATTAACTAAGAGGATTATAAAGGTCGCAAAAATATGCATTAACACATATTGAAAAATATTCCTCTTTCTTGCTTTTTAGTATTAGCACTCTGGTGATTACTCTCGTTTATGGAGCAAATAATGCCGCCCCAAATCTCCAAGGAAATGAAGCTTCTTTTGGTGAAAAGTTAGTCAGCTTCCTCGCTATGACTCCCCCACCCCTGGCATTAAAGAATGGTCTTAAGTGAAAGAGAGTATAGGGGTAGGACCTGACTTACCTAGTTCAGTATGAATCAGTCATTAAGAATTTATTGTTTCTTGTGTATTCATTCATTTACAGGACCTGGTTTCTCTAATTTACTGTGACTCAGTTCCTTAAGAATTTCTTTCCTTTTTTCTTGTGTAGTCATTCAGTTATTTGTTCATTCTTCCCACCAGAATTCACTCAGCCTGATCATGTGAAATACAGGGGATGCAGTGGTGAATAAGCCACACTCCTTGCTTTCGTGGAATTTAAATCTGTGGGGCTGGGAGTGCAGATTAAGTACATTTTGATCGAGTGTGTCAGTGGGTATGCAGAGTGGGCTACAGGAGGACACAGGGAAGAAGCAGAAAGTTCATAGGAGAACCTGAAGAATAAGCAGAGTGGGCCAAGTACAGGCGTGGGAGGTTAGATAAGAAAGGAGAGAGGTGGAGAAGACATAAAGGCTCGAAGGTAGAAAAACCTGGCATGTGATTACTCTCCACTGGGGTGTAGAGACAGGCCAACTGAAAAAGGAGGCTGGGGCAACAGAAGTCAGATCACGAAGAGCTGTGTAAGCCTGGTCAAGGAGTTTAGATTTCATTCCAAGGGCGATGGGGAGGCTATTCTCTCAGCGGTGTTAAGGAAAAGAGCAATTGAAAAGTGAGACAATCAAACTACAGTATCTGAAATCACATCTCCTCGCAGAAGCAGCCTGTGGCTTATCCAAGTCCTGTTTCCTTTGCCTTGCTTTTTGACTGTGTCATTTACGTAGAGCAGTGCTTCTTAAGCCTGGCTGCACAATGGAATCACCTGGGGATGTTTAAAAAAATACTGATGCCCAATGCCAGATATTCTGATGTAATTATTGGTCAGGGTTAGGACCCAAGCATCTGGATTTCTCAAAAAGCTCCCCCAAGGAAGTCTAATGCACAGCTGAGTTGAGAACTAGCGCAAGGGAGGATGCGCAGAAAGACTAAAGAGAAGCGAGTCAACGCTGTCGACCTGAGATGCTCTCAGTTAGTCATTCTGTCC